TGGCCTTTCTTAGCAGATCTCTGCAAAGAGGTCTGTACATCCTTATACAATGGGCAGCTGAGTTTATAGATTTATAGCACGTGTAAGACCTCTTTAGCAGGGGGTGGTATAATGTTCATGGACTGGTGTCAAGGGTCTGTGTGAAAGGCCACACTGCTGAAATTCAGGACAGAGTCTTGCCATCAATACAAATAAGACTGCATAGATAACAAAGAAGTGTTCATCTTAGGAAATGAGAAAAGCATCCAGTAAATTTCCTGCAGAAATAGGTGGATAAGGAGCTGTCAGAGGAAAGCCTTTATGGAATGAGTTGGCACTTTTGGTTTCTTCCCAATTCTGCAGCTGTTTATACATCACAAAGTATGGTTGGTGGGAACATATACCCAGGCTGGTGGTTTCATGAAGTAACAAGGTTGTGGATGGGTGCAAGAGCTTTGAGATTCCTCAAGGAGGTCTCTGGACACTGCTGTTAATATGGATATTATGGAGGGGCAGAGTGGGAGATTTTTCATTTCCCTTACAAGATACATGAAGAGCTCATTTCCCTTTGATAGCTTTCAGAATATGTGGATGCTCTAAACAGCAAGAAGGAATTATTTTTCTAATGGGTAAGAGTCTAATCTCATGTGAAATAAATCAGAATGACTCCCTCTAGTCTGTATGGCTACTGAATCAGCCTCTAAATATCCTAGCCTTTTACTTCCTTTGGTAATTATCATTGTTACAGTATAATTACAGTAGCTTCTATATTGTGCTCAATGCTCTATGCACAGGAAAATAGTTTGTCAGTCAGTTCAAAATGGGAGCACGTAACAAATTACCTGTGGAAAGATCACTGAGATTAAGATGGCATGTGCCTCAAACTTAATTATAAAAAATATTCTGAGACTATTACCTGCTAAGAAAATAGTATCTGCATTGGTGTGGGGGGTGTCAGAGCAGTATAGAGACCTGGCTACTGACAGGTTTTTTTTCTTTCTCTTGCGTTTTCATGTGGATCTTGAAAGAAGGCAGGCCTAACTTGAAAACTGTGGTCTGGGTCTCTGTGTCCCCCAAGCATTCAATCTGTCACAGGATTCAAGTTGCCAGAGTGTTCCCAATCTATTGGGAAATAAACCAGCAGAGAGAGCTGAGGTGCATGCTGGCCATCAGGCTGTTAATTACATGATCACAAGCTGTAATTTGGGTAATGCTGTTCTTTAACTTACTATCCCAACTGCCAGAGCTGATGGTATCACATCAGCTTTAGCTTTCATCTACAGCAGAATTAACCATTCTGCTCTGACTTAAGACAATGCTTTTTGTAGCATGAACCATGTTATGTTAAACATAACCTTTCCCAAACAATGGAGATGAGATCTTCTCATTGCACATGGAACCAAAGTGCAGTGGGAACTTAGAAATGAGTCCTGGAGTTATGCCCTGTTAGTCTGTAACATCTGTGTATCTGTAATAGCCCTAAATGAACAAATTTTGTAAAGAAACAGCACTAGGGAGAATTGTGGGATGGGGAGGGGGCTGGAAAGTTAGAGAGTAGAAAAGTAGCTAGTAGTAGCTAGTTTGATTGATTCATGGATGAAGAGTGGTGACGCAGCTAGAAGGATAGGTCTTATGCTCTGACTGGACAATAGCTAAGAATTTAGCTTTAATTATAACTGGCAGTTAAACGGAATGACTGGGCTATGAGCTTTGCATCTAGTAATATAGTTCAGACAAAATCATTTCCCTGAGTGAGGCTGAGGAATCCATCATCTGAGGATATGGAAGTGCAAGCAGCTGTACTTTGTACAGGCTGTAGATACAGTGGAGGAGAAAGCAGGAGCGAGATGAGAGATCACATCTCCGTTCCTTTCCTTTCCACTTCCTTTTTTGATGAAAATTTGGAGGCTGAGGTGTATGTGGTGCTCAATACATAAAGCATGTAGAACAATTACAGGTTGTACAGGAACATGCAGTAATGTATCTGTTCCAGTAAAACAGCACCGAACAGTCTGCACACTGTGATTAGTTGAATTCACTGCTTCTGACTTAAAATCATTTTGGCTGCCTCAATTATTTCTTTCATCTCTGCATACAAGAGGAAGTTTGGGAGACTACAAGCCTCATCATAACTAACGTAGGTCCTTCTACTCTGCTTTGCAATGATATTTGCCTGGATTCCTTATGTTCAGAGACTCACATAAAGCAGAATGCTTTACAACATAAATACTTTAAAAAGGATCTCTCAAGGCTGTTTGGGATAAATTTGGCCTATTTTTTCCTCTTTAAACTACTTACAAAATGCATTTAATTGTCTGTATTTTCTTCCATGTTCAAACACGTGATTCAGTACTATTTTAGTGGGCTAACACTGACAAGTACCCAGACAACAACACTATGCATGTGTACCTCAAACTTAACAGAGAAGAAAATCTGTCAGTAAGTCAACTGGTTTTCATTTCATGTTTTTGTGAGATCAATCTGTTCAGTAAGGTCTCTGACCAGCAGAGTTTAATTCCCCTTTTACCTTGTGGAAGGTATTAAACCTCTTTCATCACTGGGACTTGAGTTACCTTTCTGCACCAGCTGCCTTCCAGGAGTAGCTCCTCCTGGACTTAGTGGAAATGGTCTTGCCTTATGCAGCAACTGTGAGGTCTGTGAACTCTGAGAAACCACTGTCATTTTCATTTAATCAAGAAAAAAATTCAGGCAATCCTTCTCCCCTGCAAGGCCACTTTTAAAGGGCCTTCCTTGTAGGAAAAGCCCACAACTTCTATTGTTCTATTTGTCTCAAAACCAGAGAACTGATCACACATGCTGTCACTAAACAAAGTGCTGCATGCTTGCTGGGAGAAAATACAGGATAGCTTAAGCTTTCAGTAAATAAAAATGTTGCTATGAGCCATTTGGCTTGATTTCCTAATTTCAGCCTAACATTGATTTAGGAGTCACAGACATTCCTCATTATTGCATGTTACAATTACATGGGCAGCAGAAGTAAAAAAATGCTCATGTATAGGATAAAATATAGTTACTGATGACAGCAGTACAAACTCCTTATAAAAGTCCCAATTATCAGAAGGGCAGCAGCTGCTTTTGTCTCAACTGAAAAGAGAGAGAGTGCCAATATGTAACAGCATTTTTTTTTATTAGAACAATTGGCCTCTACACCTTGTCTTTATTATACGACAAAGATCTTTGTTAGGGCAAATTAATAGTCATAAGTGAAAATATATTAGATTTTACAGTGATTAGAATATGTTAAGAATTTGTCCTAAATAAGAATTCTAAGAATTCTTATTGTGCATAACTAAACAATAATTACACATTAAGATAACATACAAAATAAAGTTGCAGAGTGGATGTGATAAATAAGCACTGTAAATAGCCTCTTCCACTCAAATCCAATATACTAACCTTGATTTATGTGACATTTGATTACATTTTATTCATGAGTCTTATTCAAATACAGAGGGAAGGTAGTGACTCTCACAGGAGCACAGCAAGACATGGCATACCAAACACATCACTGCCTACTGTAGATTTTATTAGTGCCAGCTTTGCTCCACAGAAGGGCAACAGAAGGCATGTAATACAGCTTTTCTGCACTGTGAAATCCAGCAGAAATCCACAATACCTGATACTACAAAACCATTTTTGTGTGTACTTCTTGTATTTCATGAAAAAATGTAGGTTGAACAACGACACGAACAACTACATGTATTTTACTTCTATGAAATAAACCAGTGCCACAAGGAGTGGGCTCTGTATCACCTATGACCCTGAAATAAAATACAGTAAGTCATGTTATAGAAAGCTCAACAGCTTCTACTTGAAGTTTCCACAGGGAAGCAGCTGTTCGGTAGATTGGTCACCTTAAAGAAAGTCCTAAATAAAAGAATTATACATTAACATCCTCAAGCAGTAGTTGTCTGTAAATGGAAATGCCAGCACAGAGAATCTGCTTAACTTCCCTGAGGTCAAAGGCAAGGTAATTTAAACCATTATAAAATGTAAATTTCCAAACTAGGATGAAATAAGTAGCAAGGGTAAAGGCTAATAATTATCCAGGTTTTTTCAACACACAGTATTTGGAACAGCAAAACTTTTAGCAAATGCAACATATAATACTAAGAAAACTTCTTGCCATATGAAACAAAGCACTGAATCTCAAGATAAGAAAATGCTTTTACAATTTTATCTCACTTCCCATCTGCAGACATCCATAGGCTTCTCATTTCTTGATGTGCAAAGAAAGATGCTCCTGGTTTCTCTGCTTCTGTACCATATTTATCATGCAGTGGCTTTTATAAAAATATTTAAAGCAAGGGATAATGAGGTTGTGTTTCAAAACGCAAAACCATTGGTTTAGTTTTGCAAATGACATATCCATGCATGTCATCAGCACATGGAGTCACAACTGCATTTCAAAACTTCATTGCTTGGCATTGCAAAATGTATTGCGCTAAAAAAACCTCACCCACTCCCCCCCTGCCTCCCCTCACTTTAACCTCTGACTACCAAAAATAACGTCATAGTGGAGTGATTGATTAGCCACATAAGAATTCTGAGAATCAGCAACATAGCTCAGGGATCATGTCAGGCACATATGTACCTCTGCACACCTTTGAGACTGACAGATTATGAATATTCCCTTCTGAGTCTATCCTTTCTGAAACATTCTGTTTGAGGAAAAATTAACTACTAAGGCCTCTGTATATGTAGCACCTGCTCTTTAAAAACCTAGCTCATTATGCTTAAAAAGCCCAAATCCATGATCACAAATAGTTTCTATTCTTATATACAATTGTATCACAACATTTAAACAGGTTTTTTCATTCTGTCACAGAAGCATAATGCAAGTGTGACATTCAATTGTCCCATACAATGAGAAGAGTCATGTGGTAAATAAAAATCAAGACAAGGAAAATTACCCCCCCAGAACACAAGGTACAGAACACCAAAACATTCCCCCTCTCTTACAAGAGCACCTACAAAATATGGCATGTTTCAACACTCACGGCTATCGTAGCATATATTGCCCAGGGCACGTCCTGTCTGAAGCAACACTTCCTGGTCTTTGCAGTTTAACAGCTGCACCAAAGGAGGGATCAAGGCAGCATCCACACATGCATTCCGCATGAATTCTGCAAACAATGGAAGGCCTGTTAAAGGAAACTGGCTACTTTCAGTTTCATCCATTCTAGTTACACTGGTGTGGCAACTGGGCCTTTTGTGAGAAAAAACATAGGCATGAACAAACAATGTCAGTTCTTATGCATGTTTCTAGAGAATGAGCCCAAGTCAGCATTTGGGGTTGCATTCTTTCCATTATCTGTTAATTTAGAAGGAATTACGAGTATGTAATTGACTTCCATGGCAACTAATTTAACAGCGCTCAGGCTGAGCATGTTTGTATCATCACAAAGAAGTGCTGAAAAGAATAGTGAGTTCATAACCTTCTTCTCCACCCCAACAAATTCAACATGAATTAAAATTACTAAATAACACAAAAGATGACCTAAACTAGTATTCATACTCCAAAATAAGCTGCATTTTTTAACTCTCTATTCCCTTATTTAGAACTCCTAAAAAGCTTTTGCTTTAGTTAAAAAAGAAAAGAAAAAGAATTAAAGCTAAGTAACAGGCTTAGGTAGGAAGGTAAGGAAAATACAAAGAATGAGTAATACAAGAATGATCATGTGAGCTCAACGGCCTGTACCTTTCTCTAGTCTAACTGATTCCCATTGTGGGAGGAAAGCTAGAGGACCTGTCTTCTGGGAAGCTCTCTTGTCTCTCTCTCCTTCCTTCCTTCCATGTCTCCAAGTCACAGAGAACCAAAGCATCATTTTATATCCATCTAAGTCATAAAGAATTATACTGGAGTCAGCAAGATAAAGGACTGGTTTCCAGAAGGAACTCCAGTTAGGCAGGCATCGTGCTGCATGTTTTACAAGGGACATTTGTTCTGGTTTGAGCCAGGATGAAGCCAATTTTCCTTTTACTGATTTTTTTTTTTTCCCCTTCAGTAAGCCTTCTTTTAACTAGTAGCAGAGTGTTCCAACTAAGACTGGTAACAGTGGAATGTTTACTCTGCCAGCTCAGACAATACAGGGAGATCTATGATTCCCTGTAGGAGGCTGAGTTAGACAGACAGCAAAACTGGCCAGAGATATTCCATTCCATATATCTACATAAGCTCAGAGGAAGGTCAGAGATCACAGAAGACAACTTGCTTCCTGCTTCTTCTTCCCTTCTCTTCTGTCTATGGCTGGTGTCTGGGGAGGACTCCATCCATCCATCACCATTGACCCCCAGGCTTGAGCTCTCCTGACCCTCATCACTCTCCGCTTTCTCCAGTAGCTTCGGGATTCTTTGGGACTATTCGTGGCTCAGGAGATGCTGTGGGAGTTGCTGGGGGTAGGGGAGGAGAGAGGCTTTTGCACATATCTGAACATATTTGTATATAGTTGTATATATTTTCTTATATCATTAGTGTTTATTTAAAGCTGTGTAGTTTAGTTTTCAATCCAGGCAAGTCTCTCTCTTTTTCTCTTTCTCCTTTCCTACCTGGGTGGGAGGAGGAGGGGATCGAGAGTAGTGTTGTCAATCCTGAGGCAAATGGTGACAACAATTTATTGGTGCCCAACGTGGGGCTTGATTTTAAGCCCAGAATATACATTTTCATGAATTGGGAGTGTTTAAAACTCCATCTCTGATGGGAGGAATCCCTCAGATAGCAATAGGCAACAGTTCTGCTGAATTTCATGACGGATTAGAAACTGAACAGACACTTTCTGCTATGAATCTACTGGACCTTTTTCCAAACGCAACTGTACATGTGGTGTGCAGCCGAGAGCATTCTGATCTGTGTAGCTGCTCTTGTTATTGTTTCATGGTTTATCAACAGAGCTGTAGCCATAATCAACTGTATAATTACCAGCCTAGTGATCCTAGGGGTTATGATACTGATCTTTATGGGGGCACTGTATGTGTACAGTTACCGTACAAATCCTAACGTGAACGGAACGGTCCATGTTGGCAATAGCAGTAGCAGGTTCAATTTTATCTCTCCATTTTTCTATCAAGCTGAGTCTCCTAGCTCTTCATCTGAATAGCATTGTTGCAGTAGGTATGCTTCTGCTCAATGTTTATAATGTACCGTGGTTACGTAAGGTGAGGTGTTGCTCCACTCGCTGCCACTCCCCCACAGGCAATGCTGATGCCACCTGTGATGCTGCCAACACCACTGCTGCTGAGACTACCACGTACTACCACAAAAACAGCTGCTTCTAGAAGTGCTGCTACAAAAACAGCTGCTTCTACAAAGATAAAGTCCACTCCCTTTTGAATCAAACTAGTTAATCCTGTGACCAGGAGCAAGGCAAAGGCAAAACGCTCCTCCCTTTTTACCCGCTCCCGTCTGAGACATCCAGAGTTTCTTCAGGCAATGATAGAGCCTGTGTTAATATAAGGTATGGAATAAGGGGTGGAACTTCCCAGGTAGGGAAGAGGAGGGGATTGAGAGCATTGTTATGGAACCTGAGTCAAATGGTGACATTTACAGAAGAAACAACCTGATACACCAGTAGTATTACTTAATAGTTCATTACAGAGCACCCTTCAGAGATGTAGCATTGTAATAGGCATAAGCTGAATAAGTTTTTGATTTGTTGTGAATTGCAAATTATGTCTTTCCTGATTCTAGAATATATTGGATCTTCCAAAACTGATTTACCTTTGTGTTACTTAGTCATTTATAAGACATAATGAACCAGGATGTACAATCCCCTTAAAAAGAGATGACAGTTTTTCTGCTTCTGGATCAACGGAACCCCTTATGCCAATAACTCAAAGATTTACAATGCTTGAAATACAAATACATAATCTTAAATACTCCCTTTGTTGCACCTATTACAATGTTCTTTGATGTTTCTGTAGCTACAACATCTTGTATCTTTTGTAGCTAATCCTGCAGTGTTATTTTAGCTAAAGAAATAATGGTCATAGAGGTAAGCAATCCTCATGTGATGATAAACTTTGCTATATCAACGAGCAGATAACGTAGAATCAGCAGTATCTATACACTTGCACAGGTCCAACAGCAGATAGTGGCACAACTGACCCACCTTCTTAAGATACTGTAAAATTTAAAAACTGCAGACAGGTGCTATACTGTGATAAATGGTGGTGGTACCCATTGTAATGGACAGAACAAATATACGATACATCTGGTTTAAAACTGGTGTTGTCATGTCTTTATAACTTTTTAAGCCTTTCTTTATCATCCTCTTTCATCTTCATCTCAGCATCTATTTAATAAATGTATGTATATCCCTCTTTCTCCTCTCTCCCCTCAGACTCTTCTTCTCTTATTTGCCCAAATTTATTTTTTTATTTCTCAGCTTCACCCTGCATCACTTTCTTTCACACCCACTAATTTACTATTGTGTCTACATCATCAAAGTCAAATTTGTTTCTTTTCTCCTAGACTGTGACAGGAAATGGAACTTGTTATCTCCTAAAAGACTGAGAGGTCTCAGTCTGTTCTAGGTTTAGATTCTTACTCATGTGGTGAAAAGGAGTATGAAACACTTCATCAACCCTCCCTCCATTTGGAGAAGGCAGAAGCTTTCACTCTCCCATTGAGTAAGAAAATATTTGGGCAATGTGCTGAGCAAATTTGTATCTATCAAGGTCAGGTATGGGCAAGAAGTAAAATAAATGTTGCTGTATACAGCAAAACAGATCTGTGGGACAGCAACAAAAATGTGGTAAATGCAACTGTATTTACAGGTGATACGATACAAAAATAACAGAAGAAAGAGATGATAAAGAATAGTCGTTTAGAAGGTTTCCACTGACCTGGTGGAGAAATGAAGCAGATCCTTTGAAGGAAACAGTGAAGAATGACTTAAGAAGTCAGGAGGAAAACCAATGAGGACAGAGTACCATAAACCAAAGGAGGACAAGTTTTCAAAAAAGAAATATGTTGTTGTGTTACACATTGTGAAGATGGTACTCTTATTCCTACACCTGGCAAAGAAGGGGAGACTGAAGACCTAAGATGAGCATTTAAAAGGTTCACAGTAGGGAGAGAAACTCCACTTAGCAAGTCCACCTGAGCCTTTGGTATGCTCACAGTTGAAACAGAAATGGTTGTAGCTGGAGAGACAAGAGTAACTAAACGGAGTTTTGTGTGTTTGGATATTTTAAATGGGAGAGACTAACATAAGCTCATGTTGGGTGAAGGAAGAGTCATATGAGCTGGAGAGGTGAAACAGAGCAAGAGGACAAAAACGCAAAAAGGAGAAGATGAAACATGACAAAATGGCTGAGGCACATAGGAATTTGATGTGACCAGATGTGTGTGTGAGTGTGTGGGTAGGACCAGATGAGGGGAACAGGAAAGGAAAAGAAATGGGGAAAAAGAAAAATATGTTGTTTTGTTAGCAAAGCTCAGAGTCAGAAGCACTACTCCAAGCCAGTGCTGCATGGAATAACCACAGGGGAATCAGTACAACTGCCAGGGTTTAATGCCTAGTATCTGTAGGATGTTGATAACACAGATTCCTCAAAGTACCCTGAAGCTTGTTGAAAAAAAAGTGCAAGATAAGCATGAAATGCTTGTATTCTTATATAAAAGGACAAAGAAAATAACAGAATTCAAATGAGGTGTTCCCTGCTATCTTGCTTAAGCAACTATTTCAACAGCGCTGGTATGCAAAGAGAAACATGCAGCTCATCTCTGTCCTGAAGGCACTGGGAACCTTAAATAAATTCTGAACACCTTCACTTTAACCTTGGCTGCCAGATGCTACACCTGCTAATAACGCTAAGAAAAATACACGGGCTATTTTGTATGATGAACGAGGTAAAATGCCAGCTCTTCTAAAGAGTGTGCTCTGTAACAGCAATTTAAAAGCTGGCAGGGAAAGAATATATTAGAAACTATGCAGAGATTTAATGCATTCATTTTGATTTGAAAGACAGTGGCTAAAATACTCTGTAAGAGAATCTTCCAGGAAACAATGCACAGTGATCAGTGAAGCTACTGTGAACTTTGTTTTTACTTTTTAACTTTCCCCTTTCTGAGGTAGGAGCTAAAAGAACTAACTGTGAAGGACACACAGTTGACTGCAATATTCTGAATATACTTATGAATTTATTAATTACAGAAAAAGCATGTGACATATTGCATGTATTTCTATAATTCTGAAACATTTCTAAGTTTAAATTTCTATGTTTACATTTTTACTATTTTAGATAAATTATTTTAAAACTTATAAGCTAACAAAGTACATCTTCTCTTGTTAATGTTCCTTCTGAATATCCATATATAGCATTGTCTCAAAATCAGTGAACTGGGTGGAGGAGGTCACATAGGGGCTACCACTAAGAAGCTGTAGTATTGTGATTCTAAAGGGAAGGTGGAAAGGGAATGTGGAAATAGTTAGCCATAATGTAGCCCCTTCTACAGAGGGAGAGAGATGTGGCTGCCAGGCCTGCATACAGACAACAGTTAAGAGGCAGCCTACATTTCTCTGCCTGGCCTTGGGCTAGAAATGTGCAAAAGGCAATCTGTGCGTCTTTGACTGGGACAGCAAGTCAAGGAGTGACCACAAACCTCCTCTACACCCACCACAGGGCCTGTCTGCAGATATAAGGCCATTTTCCAGAGCTCAAGGTGTGCAGTGTATTGAGTGAGCTTTAAGAGAATTCTTCCTAAAGAAAAACAAAATTATAGTTTTAGAGTATCTCCTACATTATATGACTTTGTATATAATAATACCAAAATGGACACCTGATTCTGATATTTGGGATCTCGAGCTCTTACTCTTAACACATAAAATGTAGGAGTCAGTGATTTTCATGAGGTATTAATGGCCTAATAATGGTAATAATATTATCACAAATCTCAAAACAAACAAACAAAAATTTACCATTCCTTAACCACTTGTGTACGTACTGCTGTTGTAACTAAATGAACTATGTGTAGCTGGATGCAGGAATGATGCACATCTTTTTTATCTATATGCACTTCATAGAGCCAGTGGTGTGCTACTTCTGCCCAATAAATTATACTATTGATTGTCTTAAAAACTAAATAGCACAAAAATAAGGACTAAAAAATTTCCAGCAGCCAAATGCTGTTTTGAGTATATTAAAAAGTAGAGAAACAAAATTTGACAAAACAAAAAGAGTGAAAGGGAGGGATATGAAAGTGTCTAATCTACAAAATGAAAACATAAATGAAGTAAAACATACTGACAAGTGAGGTGAAAAACTGAAGATGTTCCAGCAGAAAAGTTCTTGTAGAAAACCTCACCATTTCTGGCTACTTCTGCTATGATGTTAGCTACTTTTGCTGTGCAGGAAGATTGTGGCGTCAACAGACTTGCGAACACCTGAAGAACTCCACTTTTCTGGATTTTTTCACTTGTCTCCATATCTGAAAAACACATCACAGAAAAATGACTTGTGCATCAGCCTGCTTTGGGGAAGAAAAGAAAGAAAAGCAAAAAAGAAGTTAAATCTTCTCAGAGGTAATTATTCAAGTATGCATTTTCCCATATAAGAAGCCAACTGCTATTTCAGTGATTGTATTTATATTATATGATGTGTTCACAGAACTTAGTACTTTGCCATTCCTCATGAATTGATCTTTGTAAGTTGAGTCTGTGTTATGTAAGTAACAAGTAAGTAAATGTGTTAAATAAGTAAATACATTATGCAAGTAAATACAGATACATACTCATGTATTCATAGGGAAACTACTGGAGAGACTGGTCAAACGACTAAAGGTCATGGAGTAGTATGCAGCATCCTAAAATAATATGTAAAAGTCAAGTGATGAATTATTGGAAACATTTCAGGAATGGTGGAGAAAAGTCCTGACAGCTAAAAGGACAGCTTAGGGCAGTGTAGGAGTCAGAAACTGGAGAAGAGCTAAGCAGATCCTGGACTAGACTCTTACATTCAGCTTGAATATCTTCTTTGTTACTTTGCTAAGCCACAGTAGCTCCAGGATACATGCAGTAGAAGGGAAAGGGAAAAATAACACTGAGCTTCTTGTAGCAGAGGTCAAAGGTTTGGTACAAAACTGTTCCTCTTTCTTCCTGTAGCAGAGAGGAATTTGCAGTTGCTCCATAACAGAGACCCACCTTAGAATTGATGGCAAACAGCTTTGTTAAAAACTGAAAATTAACACTGGTAATAGATGCTAAAGCATATTTTCCTAATGCTTCTGAGTAACACCATATTTGAGATTAATATTAGTGTGATGTACAGCATGATTAGATGGCAGCTATCACTTCAGAAAGCAGTATGACTTTTTAAGCCATTCATAATGGCATCTGCCAAAGATGTGAGATGCTGTAATTGATGACTTTTGAAAGTAAAGCAAATCTATCTGAACACAAGGCTGTTGCTCAACAACCTTGTCTCATGGGCATTTTTAAGCACTAGAATATGCACAAACTCCCTCAGATCACTTAAAATGTTTAGCTTTACAGTAAAATTGCTAGATCTTGCTACCAATATTGAGAAAGAGATACAGAAATTTCAGAGTTGAAAAAACAGGCCTCTGAACATCACCTGCAGTTTCTTAGAAAGCACCCTTAGTCTGGTGGAAGAGCTATCAAGACAGGCTGGGCAGCAAGAGTAATAATGGACTTCTGGGGTAGCAGTTTGCAACTACTCATTAGCTGCGCTTCACCTCTGAATTGCTAACGACTTGCCACTGAGCTCACCACCTCCTTGCTCCTGCTCCTTCCTTTCTCTATTCTCTGCGACTGATTTTTTGCTTTTGGCAGCTCCAGGACAACCCCTGCTGCCTCTAAGCATAGGAGAGACACACTTGGGCTGATCCTGAATAGAAGCCAGCACAAGCCTGGTAGAAGTGACTCACATGGGTTTTGTGGCTCACATACAGCATGTACAGACTTCCCAGTGATGTCCATGAGACAGAAAATGCACTAAAATGAGATCATTTCAAGTCTGGATTGCAGGTTATGCCTCTGTATTTCTGTATCAATTCCATCTTGGGATGCTGGTCTTTGGCTAGGACCAGTCATCTACAATATGTCAGTGGTGACATCTTATTACAAACAGATTAGCTATATAATGAAAATTGATTAATCTCAACACATCATGCATAATATAAGTGCTAATGATTGCTAATCTGTTTGCAATCTAGTTAACTGCATTTTTTTGAAATACACTGGAAACTCTCTCAAAAGATATAAAATAAAGGAGCTTATGGTTTATTTGGAAGCTTTTATAAGTACTGACATACAGCATATCACTCCTACTGTGCTGATGAGATATCCAGTAGCCAGTCTTATTTTTATGATCTGTAGTTCGATAGACTCATAACTGTGCAAAACTTAAATTACATAAATAGAATCAAATATATACTGCAAGAAGTGGGAAAATAAAATTAAATGCTCCTCCAGGCCGGTTGCATTTAGCAGATATTGACTGATTTATTTTATTAAGATACACAACGGAGTACTAATAAAAGCACAGGGCTTAACAGACGAGCTGGAAACTGGGAAATGGGATAGCTGGGCTCACATAGATGAAAATAGACATCTTTTTTTTTACTCTTAAGTAGTATAGGAGGCACACCTGCTTATGCCCTCCCCTTCAAACCAACATCCCACTGGTTCTTGTTCCCCAGGCTGAGTAACAATGTTGAACTTTTCCTGTTCACAAAAAGAGGGAAGACTGATTAATTTGACCAGCAGTGAGTGTATCTCTTGTATTACTGGGCAGGGACACCACTACCTCTGCTCTACCCTGAGTGAAGGCTCAAGCATAATTGCTTAAGGGGAAAAGCAGATTACTCTGGCATCAGGCATAAGGATAGCTACTAACTATGCAGCCCACAGTGCTCTCTGAGGCATTTTTGCCAGTAATTGCCTTGGAGTGTAAAAAAAGCCATGGGCCACTTCAGTTTATTTACTCCAAGTCTACCTAAGCCCTGCTCTTTCTCTGCAAAACATTTGAAATTTACACTTGGTGTAATATACAAATTAATCCAGTGCCAAAATAGAAATATGACAGTATGATACTAAATCTTTCCAGGTAGTTTCTAGTACATTCTTCATATAAGGCATTGTAAGGGAATGTGCCAAGAAAATTACTGTTACATTCCCATGTATGTTACTCCAAATTGTCCTGCTTTGTATCTGCAGAATCAATCAATTTTTTTTCAGCCATTTTATGTTCATCACATTGAAGTTCTAAAAAGCAAGGTAGAAAAATAAAATAAAATTCTGTAATACACAAGACATAAGTAATTGGCAGATATTTTAGTTGTAGAAATGCAGTCTTTTCGGTGAGCTTTTGAAATTCTTACACAAGGAGGGGTATTTTAACTGGAGCAAGATGTCTTTATATATAAGCCTAAAATTGCGATGTTTAACTCTAGCTTTTTTGGTCAGTATTTTTTATGTTCTTTCAAAGGAGGAGGGTTTAACAGGCAAACAATGGACAGGTCTGCCCTGTAGAAACTGGGAAGTCCAGAGAAAGAGCTTCAGACACCCCTTCACTTGTCTGAGGAGTCAACCGTACACTCAGTTCAGGTAGCATGTGTTGAAATACATGTAGAAAAAAATACCAAGCTGGAGCCTTTGAAGAATATTTCAGCACCGCTCTAGGTATATAAGCAGTTTCGTTGTTTCTTAGTAGGGCCCAAACGGGACAATTGCTTCATGGCTTCTTGCAAAACATGAGAGAGCTGAGAATCTTGTGTGAATGCATGTGCATGTGTGCAGTTCTAAGAACCTGTTCTACAGGATGCACTGAAGGTATAACTGTGTAACTGTGGCAGTAAAGGACTGCAGCTGCACAAAGCATTGAAAAGCAAGTAACTGCCCTAAATCAAGCCAAGCTCTTCTTTTCCTTTGTTTTTTTCCCCTTGCACCTAGAAAGTGGCATGGCTGTTAGGGTAGAGGCTTTAGGAAGCAATGATTTTAGACTGCTTGCCCTTTAAAGCCCATGCACCTCTGTGTCTCTTTGCTTGGCTTCATATAACATGAGTTGTGTATAAAAGCATAAAGGCAAAGGCTCGTAGACAGGGAGAGAAATCAAGCAAGAAGTGTGTGTGGCATTATTCTTTTGGAAAGAATGATGAAGGGTCATGTTTATGTAGCAGCATTTTCACTGTGACTATAAACCCCATTATTTGTTTTTCCTTCCGCTGAACCTAGGACTGGAAGATCACACACAAATGTTGCCAAAGGGCTGGTACCCACTCCACTGCCTAGGCCCAGCAGAAGTAGTCGGTGCTTTGCTGAGAAATGGAAATTGCTAATGGCTTTAGCATTGGCAACCTCAAATTCTTGTCTTATTTGTTCTCTTCAGAGGCTGGAGAAGGTCTCCCCAGCTTCCTGTCTGCAAGTGTATGCACAGAAGAGGTATGATTTCCTAAGGATATTAATCTCTAGTATGCTCCTTTTACCTGGGCTTCCTAGTAAATTATTAGAGGCTAAATTATTTTGAAAAATTGTTTCAGTTGTTTTCTTTTGAATTGCTATTTCAATGCATTATCAATTGTAGTTGGAGCATGTAGAGCTTATCCAGGAGCAAGAAAAATCTAGGGAAAATCTCCACCAGAAAATCTCCTCCCTTGCTTTCTAAAATGGAGAAAAAGGAGATTGTAGCCAATGTTAACCACACACTAGGTAAGTTGGCTTAGATTTACCATTTTAACTCCTTCCTCAGAGCTGCATCCCCTTTCAAATAAGTTCAATCTGTCTCTTAGAGGAAACCTAGGAAATCTACGTACCATGCCTCAAAATCCTTTTGCTGTATGTGATGTCCAGGTTGCAAATGCTTTCTTTTAAAGCCTAGTTTTCAGCGTGAATGCATCAACCCATAGACTACCTGATGCCCCCTATTTTGAAGTAAAGAAATGGTAGGACTGAATGATGCTACTTTGGGAACAGCTCTTTTGCACACAATATAATAGTGATGTACCACAGTAGAATAATTGAGGTGAAAAACCTGTAAGGTTAAACCTGCAGCTTTAGATGTCTCTTTATATCACTAGATATCAAGACTAAGGGTATGTTAGATCACATAGTGCCAAAATCTTCGTCATAGCTGGGTGATTAAAATATCAATATCCTTGCTTTTCATGGTTTTGCAGTGCCTGAAGTCAGAATAATAAAGGGTGTGGGTAGGAAATTCTTCAATGCCATAGATCAGAGAGCTTAGCACCATGGCTATCAGACTGTTTAATTAAGTAGCAGAAATCACTATAGGAAAAAATCCAATGCGTGTCTCAAATTAAATTCTGTGCTCTTGCCCCTCTCAGCTCTTTTTCCTGTGAAATTTCACTCCTCTCTATTTCACTTTTCTCCTCTTTGCATCATTTCATCCACCTTCAAGCAAAAGAAAAGGCAGAGAGGGGGAAGGGAAATGCAAGACATCTCTGACAGA